GTACAGAGTTAAAATAAAGCTTTTACAAAGTGATAACAATACTGTATTCCTTAGTGAAGATTTCCAACAATATTTAGATTCACAAGGAACAAAACAAAGATTAACAGTACATCATACTCTGCAACAGAACAGAATAGTGGAACAAACTCATAAAACTATATTTAGAGGTGTAAGAGCATATCTAACATCTACTGAATTACTGTTTATATTATGGGCTGAAGCAGCAATTCATATTACCTATATTCATAATAGAACACTGTATGCTGCTTTAAATTATAATACCCCACATTACAAACGTTACAGAACACACAGAACAATTGATAATATATACGAATTTGGTCAATATATTATCATTCACAACAAAAATCCTACAAAAATACAACAGCAAGGTATTATTGCTTGTTGGATAGGATTAGACAATGAAAGTAAAGGCTATAAAACATGGCACAATAATAAAATTACCATCAAACGAAATATTCAATTTCTCAAAGGTAAACCTCCTCAAATTGAAGGGGAGAAAATAGACAATACAAACAACAATACAAACAAGTGTTTAATAATTAAAAATAATGAAACAGACAATAGAATAATGAGAACAGATGACAATGATACAGACAATGCTAATCCTAACAAAAAAGGAAAAGTGGCAGAACCAACAGACTTAACAGACAACAAAGTTAAATTAACTGAAAAAGAAGTAGAACCTAAATTACATTGATTGGAACAGAAACAGAAACCAACAGAATGTGCTATCAAGCTTGAACAACACATGGAGAATAAATGTATAACAAAACACATGTATGCACTTAGCAAAAAGGATGAAGATAATATTGCCATTCATTTAACAGAATTTAATACTAAAATAAGTGAAATACAATTGGATCTGACTTCATTTTATGAAGCAATCCAATGTCCAGATTGTGATTCATGGATTGTAGCTATGAAAGACAAAATAAAACAATTAGAAAATCATAATACATGGGAAATCACAAATCCACACAATAATATTAACATCATTAGAACACAATTTGTCTATAAAATAAAGTGATACACTGATAATAGTATAGAAAAATATAAAGCACAATTAGTAGTTCAAGGAAACTATCAGATTGACAGCCTTGACTATCATACAAACAATTTATTTGCTCCTACTGCTAGACTATCTACAGTACAATTAATATTAGCATGGGCAGCATCTAATAATTATGAAATACATCAGATAGATATAAAATCAGCATATCTGTATAGACAATTGACAGAAGACAAAGAAATATATGTTAAACCTCCTCCAGGTAACTTAATAGACAGATTACAGAATGGACAAATATTATGATTACAAAAAGCACTATACAGATTAAAACAAGCTGGCAGAAGATGGTATAAAATGCTATCTAATATACTACTTAAATACAGATTAACAAAATCCAAACATGATAACACTGTATTCTTTGTAAAGAAGAAAGAAATAACTGTAGCCATATTATTTGTACATGTTAACAATATTACTATTGTAGTAATGAATAATAATACTATTACAATGATAAAACAATCTATTGTACATCATTTACAATATACAGACAGTAGCAAATTACACTGGCTACTTAGTATAGAGATTCAACACAACAGAGAGCATAGGTTCATCAGGATGTGTCAGACACATTATATTAATAGTATAATAGAATGTTACAAACTTACAAACAAACAAAGTGTACAAACACCCATACAGCCTGGTACACAATTAAAAACAGTATTGCAAACTGATAACAATAGAAAACAAATGTCTGATATACTATACATGAACATGGTTGGTACACTTAGATACATTGCAGACTGTACACAGCCAGATATAGTATTTGCAACAAATCAGTTAGCAAAATACCTTAATGACCCTGGTATAGAGCATTATCTGGCACTTAAACATTGTTACATGTACTTAAAAACTATGAATGATGTCTGGCTCCAACTTGGCAGCACAAATCAATCAATATTGAACAGCTATACAGACACAGACAGTATGATGCAAGAAGGGCATTGTGCAATATCAGGATATACATTTTACTTGAGTGATTCATTAGTTTTGTGGTCAAGTAAAAGACAAACACTGGTGGCAAATTCAACATATGAAGCTGAATTAATAGCTCTTGCAAGAGGAACACAGGAAGCAATTGTACTTACTCATTTAGCTGAAGAGATTCTGCAGGTCTCTGATGCACCAATTAATATCTATTGTAATAACAATGCTGTTATACAAACAGTTACATTAGACAAACTCAAATATTTGGAACAAACAAAGCATTTAGATCATAAGAAAGATTTTATTAAATGCTACATTGAGTTAGAGTACATAAATGCAAAATACATACAAACAAACAATCAATG